TCATTAGCGGTATCCTCTATACTCTTCTATCGATATAAACTAATTTAAGTCTCTATTATATTATTCGGACTTTAAAGTCCTAATATACTAATAAATATATAGATTAATATAGTATTAGAAGCCTTAATAATCTACTCTATAGGGGTAGAGAATTTAGTATATTAGAGCGTTATTTCGAATAGAGTAAAGGGGTCTTCTATAGGGTCTATAAGTAATTAGAATATAAGTCTAGGATAGGAATATATCTAAATTCTAGCCCTCCGTAGCTTTAGGGGGCCCTCTATAGCCTATATATACGTTCTCTTATGACCCTTAACCACTGGCTAGCCCCTGGCTTAGTAGGCCCTGGACGGCTCCGTAGGGTCCTAATATCGAGTAGGTATAGGGCGATACGCTATTATACTTTATAGACTTCCTTAACCTAAGCTATATTAGTAATCGTATACTATAGAATCTCGATAGTCTTATATCTACCTAGTGAACCTTTAGTAGGTAGTCTATTATAATATATAAACTCGAAAGATATAGTTAGGACTATAATGAACGTAGCTAAAATCGTAGTATTATAGTTAAATAAAGTATTAAAGGCTATACTTTTAGGTTAAGTAAGTACTATATATATATATAACCCTCTTAGTCTCTTTCACTATAAAGTAGATAATATTATAATTATAAAGCGATATATTATTCTATAACCTTAGTTAGAATCTATAAATCATTGCCTGAAAGTTAAAAGAAATATGATTCGTATTGCAAAAGAACTATCCCCTGCTACTCCATCCAACTATGGGCGTCGGAGCATTGGACTAGACTTTTAAGTATCTTAGCATCAAGCTCTCACCCAATGCCTAGCTTATATAAGTTGAGTGCAAGCTGACTTTAACTACTTGCTCATTCACTTCAAATACAGCTAGCTACCGCCTGCTAAGGCTAGTAACCTTAGCAATATTGGTCTTTTTGTAGGTATCAAATCATTTGCGCGTGTATTGCATCAATGTGCTAATCACAAGGCTTGTTCTAGATGTTAATGCCATGGGTTCTATCTTTCCTAGCATTTTAAACATATGCTACCAAGCTACAATTGCGATAGTCTTATCACTGGTTCTTCTATAGATGAGTTTGAGAACGCTTTTAGAACTAGTACCCAGTCTTAGTAGCCGTTGAACGACGGGCGCAAGACCACTTTTCAATACGGAAATAATAACTATAATAATAGCAGTAATAGTAAATAATGAGCCGGGTTTACTTATTGTAATAGATGAAAGTTAGAGTGCTCTGGATTGGGAAGCTGCTCCCGTGTCGCACTAGCCTAGTCTATCGACTTGATAATGAACTATGGAATTAGTGATTAATGAGGCTATTTATTCTAACGATCCAGCATGCAATGGGCGAGCCACGCCTATCGTAAGGCTACTAAAGCATTTGGCATGGCGGGCGTATATAATAAACCCAAGATTCACGATTAGTCTTTGAATATACTAGGCACTAGGTTTATGCTTATGCAGCAGCATATCTCTCTCCCTGCCAATAGTGGTGTAAGGTTAATTCAGGGCCTTCTGCCCTTTAGTTGCTGAATGTACTTGTGATTGGCATCTATATTTAATATCTTCTCCGCTGCGTGGTGTAATTATCCTGTTGTTCATGACCTGGTGAGAGCAGAGTCGGCATCGATTTGTCCAGAGCTTATCACTGTCTTATACTGTGGCTTGTATTTGCGTGATTCCTTACTTCTCAGGGCCTAACGGCAGTATTGTTCAAGCTACCAGCCCATGGTTAGGGCAATGGGTAGTTCTGTGGTATATCTCGCTTGAACAAGCTACCTATCTAGCAGGCTATTAGGTGGTCTATTTCCGCAACGTTCTTTCTTGAAATCCATTAGACATTTCGTCTTGTCAATCTTCATTTCATTTCCGTCTGGTCTTAGATATGTCATTGTAGAGGGAGGTACCTAGTCTTTCTTCTATACTGGGACACTCACTGGCTCCCTCGTTCCCACTGACTAAGGCCAGTCGACATGTCGACGCTTTTGTACCTTCGGACCTTAATGCAACTGAGGATAGGGGCTAATCCTCCGTGGAAAAGTAATCCCTTTTACTTTGAACTCGATCACGATGGCAATACTCGAGCCACGCGAGTTTAGTAATGACCGATGCTCCAACTTCAGCCTACGATTGTCGGGCGCTGATTTTAGAATGGCGAGATCTGCTAAGGGCTTGCAGGCTGCACCGACGATGCCATGAACAATCTTGGCTTCACCACGGGACGTTCCGAGCGCTCCAAAGATAATGAACAATGTGGGCAGTTTGAGTACTCTCGCTGTAAATTTGTTGGCGAACCTAACGTGAATCTAGTTACTACGTTAATATCGCGCCGCGCATGAGCGACCAGCCAATTGACCGGAACGATGGCAAAGACACGGGCTCATTCTGCTCAATCAAAAGCAACAAACATACGTAAGCTTCAAAGAATCGCAGAAGTAATTTGTTTCACTTTCAGGTGCCCCATAACTCTTCCAGGAACGAGGATTGCGCCTTTTAGTTAGCATAGTGCATTACGACACTAAAACCTTTTAGCTGAAGCGAAAGGTTGCTGATGAAAGAGAATCTCAGAAGTAAAACTGTGCCATCTATGTACAGAGTTAATTTCACCAATACGACCGCGATAGCGTTATCCAACGTCGATCCTCCAATGGGCAGAGTTGCACTCGATTGTCATAGGAAGCGCGAGGATGGAAATAATGTACTTTTAGCTACAACAAATCATTGGGGCTAAGACTCTGCTATTGGGCTTATTGTTCTAGATGAGAACACACTGCCTACATGTACCTTTACCAGTAATACCAAGCTCGAGTGGAAGGGAAACTAACGCGGAGAGTGGGACGCAACTTCTAATTCCAATCGGCAGTTTGCGATTTTGGGACACATGATCTTTCCCAGTTCTAGGATAGAATGGAAATAGAGTTTTAGGGAGCGAAATCTTAAATTAAATATTAATAGTAAGTAAAGAAGCTTTTAGAATACTCTGGCTATAAAGGCATGATCTGGGCTGATCTGGGCTTATAAATAGAACATTATACCCCGAAGCTTTCCATCTCAATCGAGACATAATCCTAGTAGGCTAAGGGTAAGGTTTTTATACCCCGGAAATCTTTAAGGGGTAAAGAACTTACTCTGAAGTAGCTTTCCGATATAACTAGGTTTAGCTAATATTAAGTTTTATACCGGCATGTCCGACTCAACCTTAGCCCTCTACCTCCGGTCGATTGTAACCTAACTAATACGAAGTCGCGTTTCAGGTTACAAAGGCAAGCTACCATACTGAAATAGATTATAACTACCCTCTTTCTATATAAGAGTTCTCCCCCCTCTATGCTGTTCTCATTTTCTTTCCTCACCCACCACAGTTTCAGTCTAGCCTTCCTATCAGCTTACAAAGTCCACGCCCAACAAATACACCTAAAACCTCACAATGAAGACGTTTACCCTCGCTACTATCATTGGCCTTATCGCCAGCTCGATGGCTTGCATCGACCCCATTTATCCCGGCAATTCTCAGTTCACTGACGTCGGATCGAAAGCCAAGTCCTTCAAGCCCGGTAACGCGGCTGGAGACATCCACTTTGACGGTCTGGCCAAGTTGACCGTTGCTATCAAGGGCTCACCCAGCAACGTGGATGTTGTCGTAACTCCTTACATCAAGAAGAAGTTGGATATCAAGATCACCCAGCAGGTTGATGGCAAGAAGATCCGACAGTGGCACACGACTAGCGATGGCAAGAACTTTGAGGCATGCCTGGACATCGGAAGTCTCGGCCACAAGGGAACCTTCTTGGCCGAGGTTGAGGCTCATTAGAGAGATGGCGCAATCATTTCAAGGCAGTACATCTGAAGGCGCTATAGTTTTCACCCGGGAGTGCTTAGATTGAGATAGAGCCTCAACGGTTTCTATAGTTTATTATTAACCCGCCTTATGTATACCGCTTCTGTCCATTTATACTCTATATGACCTCTTTTAAAAGAGGTATGATAAGGATCATTCCAGTTCCTTCTTATTTGATCTCATCGCTCGTAAAGTCCAGACTAGCCTCGAGTTAGCATTGTTCCATCGAAACCATTCGTCAAGTACTTACGAGAGGCAAAGGCCGCGATATACGCCAAGCCGGCTAGAAGTTGGACGCCGAGGTAGCCGTCACCGCCCCGTCCTTGATATTGATAGCGAGAGCAATGGGCTGGGCAAGAAGGGTTGGTATAGAGAGAACTGTCCAAAAGATTCACAGCGCTGCCGGGAGGAGTGGGAGCCAGACGACTTCAGCGCCCACAGCCGCCACTGTGGGCCAAAAACAGCCGTCTAGAGCACCACAAAGCGCGTAAATGAGGAGACCGGCGAAGTCCTTTCCAGCAAAAACCCAGATGAACAACGTTGTCAAACCAGCGAGTAGGGTGCTGATTCCAGCGACGTCCAAGCGGCCCCAGCGATCATTCGACAGGCCTATGATGGGATGACCGACACCCTGCCCAACTGCACCTTGTCAGCGTCTTCCGACGTAGTCACATTCTCACGATTCATAAGGGCCGCAGCCAGGGATGCCTGACTCGTTATAAACGCTACACTCTGGCCGAAGTCGGCCAGAGAGAAGATGACAATGGTATAGCCTATTAGCCTGAAAAGCCCCCACAACAAGAACAGAAGATAATTTTTTCTCTTGAGGAGCTCCCAACGAAAGGCCGACAGTACTGTACCGACGCTCTTATTTCTATTGCGCAGCAGAATGCAGCAAAGACCGTTGACGACAAGTGTTAGAATGGCAAGAATGCGAAATGTCCAAGCCAAGCCGACACTCCGAATGGCTGCGTTGGTCACGAGAGAGTATGTCAAGCCACCAAACCCTGAACCACAGGTCGATAATAAGTTTGCAAATGATCTGCGTTTGTCGAAATATTGCGAGATGATCGATACTATAGAGTTAAAGGACAGCCCAACGCCTAGACCGAAAAAGACGCCCTGGGTAAGCAGGAGGTGCCATATTTGAAAACGGAAAGAGGCGCCCAGCAGTGCACTGGTCTGGATGATAACACCTAGCGCCAATGTAGATCTGGACCCTAACGAGCGCACCGAGAGAGTGACAAGGGGTGCAGTCATAAGAGCTAATAGCATTAGAGATAAAGTGATCAAGAACTAACGTTGCTTACCCACCTTTGCACCGCCACCCTATTTGCATTACCCTAGAATCCCTTACTATTGAACTAATATTAGGGAACTCTATAGTTAGGATAGTGATATCTAAGATATCTAGGATATCTAGGATCCACTGCTCTTAGGAGCACATAAGCTATAGCTTATATAATCGCTAAGAGTAGATAATATAGGAGTTATAAAGGTTAGAGTCTTATAACTACTCTAGTAGCTCGAATAAAAGCTATAGGAGTTATAAGGGTTAGAGTCTTATAACTACTCTAGTAGCTTAAATAAAAGCTAAACTATAACGATATATAGATTATAAAATAGAGAAAAACCATAGCTATAGAATAATATAATTTTTATAATATTCTATGGAGCCGTTCTATAATAATAAGCGTTTAAGTTCTCTTATACCTTATTAGCTAGAGCTTAGAATCTAACTCTACTTCCCCTATAGGTCTAGAGGTAGTCTAAGCGCTTTATCTATATATAGCTATTAAGGGTTAATCTATTATATATAAAGGGCACCCCTTAGACCTATTTTTTAGGTTTTTTAGATCTAATAATTATCTAATTCTAATTATATTTATAAATCCCTTTTATATAATAATTCCTATTTAATTTATATATTCTTAATTATTATAAATAAATACTTTCTAAGATATACTTTACTCTTATTAGGATTAATTTAAGTATTTCTCTTAATTAATTATAACTTTCTTCTTAATTACCTTTTTACTTATTTATCTTCTATTTAAATGAAAAATATATTATTTTATAGCTTTTATTAAAGGCTATATAAATCTTTAATCTATTTCTTAATTTAATATCTCCTTCTTAAAATATAATTACTTTTATCTCTCCTTTCCTCTTATTCTTTTATTTATTATTATCTCTTTATTCTATAATTAAGCTATACCCTTAATTATTATTTAATACCTCTTATATTAACTATATTATTGTTACGACCTGGCAGCTTCCGAAGGGGGAACACTGTCAGAGGGTTGGGGTTGCTGTTTGCAGAAGCTTAGGTTGTGACTCTGAGACGATGTGGTGTCGTAAGGCGTTGCGCACTCGTTACAATGAATACAAGGTAAGACTTAGATTGATCACTGTCGTGAGAAAGAATGTATCTACAAGTCCAGAATGTCCGTCCTTATATACCTGCCATCCTGTCCTTGTTGTGTTAGGTGGTGAGCTCATGTTGGATGGCTCACTGGTTAGTTGTTGGTGATCCATGATGTTAGGATCACGGTGTGTTATCCCGTGAGCCATTCCCTGGCTCACTGCGGCGTCCTTGGTGAGCCCGACGACTCACCCTTTATGTCTGAGTGAGCCATCACGTGATTTGCCAGGTGGGCCCGATTCTTATCTTATCGCGCTCCCTGATCGCGGGGTCGTCGATTCGCGGCCGCCCTGCTTCCTTGGTTGTTACATGATGCTCCTCCTCCAGGCCGATGTCCCAGCGGCCATAAGTAGTAAGTCCCAGCCGCCTGCGGTGGTTCTTCTCTTGTCATCCTTACTAACCATGACAAAATGTCAGGTCGTGTCATAAAACGTTCGTCTGCCAAAACCGACCAAAGAAAGGCGCTCGCTGCTTTGATTGACTCCGAGGGCGAAATCAAGATGCCTTGTACGGGGTGCTTCAAGCGACATCTCGTCTGTAAGACCGCCCCTGGTTCTTCTCGCTGTGGGGAGTGCATCCGTCGCGGTCGCTCTTGTGATGGTGTGAGCGTGGTTTCTGCGCGTAAGTTGGTCCCTGGTGGGGTCATGGTCCTGTTTTCTAATGATCGTCTAGTGGAAAAGGCTCTTGCAGAGCAGAAGAAGCGAGAGGCTGAGATTGAGGATGCTGAAATGGAGTTGGAGGTGCTCCAAACGAAGTTGGCGACGGCCTTGGGTCGTTTGTCCCGTCTTCGCAAGATGCGGAAGGCGGCGAAGGCTCGTGGGGAAGAGTTGTTTGCTCGTGGGATTCGTCAGTTGGATGAGGAGGACGGCGTCCTTCCTCTGGGCGGGGACAACCTAAGCCTCGAGGCTCAGGAGGCCAACGTGGTTCAGGACCTTCAGGAGTGGGGTGCTAGCGGCGTCGTGGACTGGTCCTCGTTGGGCTTCGGGGAGGAATTTTCCGACCTTGGTCCTGTGCCAGGCGATGATATTCTTGGAGCAACTGCGGGCAGTTCAGGTTCTTGACTGGTTCCCATGTGTTTTCTTCATGCCCATAGTTCTTCCATTTGATCAAGTATTCTTCTTGTTTGCTTATCTTTCTGTGATCGAGGATTCTTTCGACTTCATACTCGTTGGTATTTTCGACTTCCACGTTTGTTTCGAGTGGTGCGTTATGTGGTGCTGGCTCTAGTAGTGCAATGTGAAAAACGGGGTGAATCTTCATGTTCTCTGGTAATGAGAGGTGGTAGTTGGTATCCGAGAGTTTCTTGAGAATTTTAAATGGTCCTAGTTTCTTGAAATCCAATTTGTCGTTTGGTCGTTTGGTTTTGATGTTTCGGCGGATGAGGTAGACGCTATCTCCCTCCTGTAAGGATGGTCCCTTCATCCTTGTCTTGTTGGCGTACGTGGTCATTCTGGTGCGTACGAGCTCGAGGTCGAGCTTGATTTGTTCCTGGATCTTGCGGATGTTGACCGCAATGTTGGTCGCTTTTGGCGTGTCCGGTGCTTCGCGGCGTTCCGCGTAGGCTGTTGGGTTGTACCCGTAGTTGGCATAGAAGGGTGATTCCTTTGTTGACTCGCTTGGTGAGCTGTTGTATGCGAACTGTGCGATGGGTAGTAATGTGACCCAGTCATCTTGTTGGTAGTTGATATAACACCGAAGGTACTGCTCTAGAGTCTGGTTCGTTCTTTCTGTCTGTCCGTCTGTCTGCGGGTGAAAAGCCGTGGATAGCTTATGTTTGGCTCCAAGTTGAGCGATGAGTGACTTCCAGAAGTTGCTGGTGAAGAGCTTGTCTCTATCTGACACCAGTTCTTTTGGGAGTCCGTGTTGTCCCACAATGTTCCTGAGGAACACATAGGCGAGGTCTTCTGCCGTTCCTGTGGCTTTATACGGGAGAAAGTAGGAGTACTTGGTGAGTCGGTCGACGACTACTAGGATGTTGTCGTAAGAGGTCCCAGTTAAGGGTTCCTTCGATGGTGGCAGGCTGGTGATGAAGTCCAGTGAGACTGACTCCCAGGCTGCGGTTGGTACTGGTAGTGCTTTGAGTTCTCCATAGGGCCTGTGTCTCTCTGCCTTGCTTTTCTTGCAGAGGTTGCAGTTGCGGATCACTGCTGTGACGTCCTGTCTGGTTCCTTTGAAGTCGTGATGTTTTCTGAGTCGGGCGAATGTTTTCGCTACTCCTTGGTGTCCGTGGGCCTTGGCCCCGTGGACTTGTTCGATGAGCTCTGTGGTGCTCTTGGGTGGCTTGGCGGGTTTTATTCGTGTGGTGACCGCCAAGGTACGGTGGTACGGGATTAGATTTCCTTCTTTGTCGCTTGCGAGGATTGCGTTATTGTTTGGGGGTGTGGTTTGTTCGTGGTCTGAGCGTCTGCTCAAGATATCTGCCCTGCCATTCTCAGATCCTTTGCGGTAGATGATGGTGAAGTTGAATTCCGAGAGGAATTCCGCCCATCTAATCTGTCGTTTGTTGAGGTCTTTGTTCGTTGTGAAGTGTGCAAGATTCTTGTGGTCAGTGTAGACCTTGACTTCGTGTCGTGCTCCGGAGAGATACGTTCTCCATTCTTTGAAGGCTTCGATGATTGCCATGAGTTCTTTGTCGTGTATCTGATAGTTGAGCTCTGGTCCGTGTAGCTTTTTCGAGAAGAATGCTACTGGGTGCAATCGTCCTTGGTCGTCCCTCTGGCCTAACTGTCCTCCAATGGCGAAGTCGGAGGCGTCTGTCTCGACTTCCATGGGTTTTTCGGGGTCTATCATCCGGAGGACTGGCTCGCTGAGGACGGCGTCGATGATTTGGCGAAATGCTTTTTCTTGGGGTTCGTTCCACGCGAACTCTATTTCCTTGACCGTGAGGTTTGTCAAAGGATTGGCGGTCTTGCTGTATCCTTTTAGGAATCGTCGATAGAAGTTGACGAAACCGAGGAATGCTCTGACGTCCTTGACGTTTTTTGGTGTAGGCCATTCCCTGATGGCTGCCACTTTGGATTTTTCCATCCTGATTTCTCCTGGGGTGATCGTATACCCTAGGAAATCTACTTCCTGTGTGTGGAACTTGGCTTTTTCTGGTTCTACTAACAGTTCGTGCTGGTGTAGTCGTGTGAGGACCTGGTGGACGTGTCCCTTGTGCTCTTCCATCGTCTTCGAGAAGATCAAAATGTCATCGAGGTACACTAGCACGAAGACGCGCGGGGGGTCGCGCAGGAGAGGGTTGATCGTGTTTAGGGGGGGGCGCGCGTGTGGGGGGTGGCAAAGAGAGAGGGAGATAGAGAGGAAAGCGAGGGGGGGAGGAGCGAAAAAAAACAGAAGTAGATCGTAAGCAGAGGGATAGTGTGAGATGAGTTGAGGGATAGAGAATGGGGAGGCGGAGCGAGATCATGGCTGAATACATGAGCGAGCAACTGCAAACGTATTAGGAAGCGAGAGAGAGAGTATCGATTACGACCAAGATGATGCGGCAGAACGGAACGCAGAGTGCGGTAGAATGGGGAAAGGTAGGGATCGATAATGGACCAGACCAGTGGGGTCGGGTAGTGCATAAGACCGGATCCGAAAGAAGATCGTGTCGAGGTAATTT